CTCTGCGGATTTCGTACACGTTCTTCAAGCAAGGCTTCTGCATACAAGCTTTTCCTGACTAAAAGATATCGCATGTGCCAGAGACTTGCTCGCCAGCTTGATGCATAAGCTGTTGAATCTTGGGGGCGGGGAAGGCGGGTAAGGAAGGTTCTAGGAGCTGTAGCCGCTGCACTGAAAAGGCAAGTCATTCCAGGGTAGGGTTTAGGGATTAGCGATCAGGGTTTGTGCTTTTAGGGTGTAGGGATTAGAGTAGGGAGTAGGGCAGTAGGGTTTAGGATTGTAGGGGTTCCGGCATTAGGCATCAAGGTGTAGGGCTTTGGCACGTTTACAGCCCATAGAAAAACCTTTGTCGCTCCCTGTATCTTCGTATACCATTGGGATCTTGGATCGTACCGGTGGGTGAATCCTGGGGACTAGATGATTTGGCTTCGACGCTCCAGGTCATGCAGAGAGGTCGAGAGCAGAGCCAAGTATGAGACACCGATGTGCGCAAACTCCAGGGACGTCTAGGAAATGTTCAAGACCCTGAAGCTGCCAATAGCGCCAGAGGAAGCGGCATCTGCAGGAACATGGTAAGTGTCGTACCATAAAGATACACCCACGCTCCTATATCAGGCGGAACACTTTCAGCAAGTGTTGTTGAGTAGTCTTTATACACATTAGGAAGCTTCACACTCTAAGGAAGATGCTTAGGATCCCAGTACAATTGCCCAGAGACCAGCCCTCCAGAAACATTTGCCGAACAGCAGGACGATGTCTCATAGTTACGAACTGCTTGATACGGATACAGATAGGGTAGCGGCCATCGAACCTGACTAAAGCTTGAGCCCCGGAATTTTGATTCCGTTTGTGGCCTCGTAAGGGAGGAGCCACTTGAGGTTTTGGCAGGGCCAAGCTTTCCAAGGCACGTGATGGGATGGGTCAAGTAGGTTCTGCATATTGGTGTTGAAGATGGGTCTCATGTGCTTTGACGCTGGTCTGTCTGGGTTGCTGCACTCTCCTTCTCATTCGGAGCGTCCTGAGACGCAGTCTTGAGGCAAATGCTCGTACGATCTCGTGCGTCTTTGTGAATTCTTAGCGTCATGCTGCATCTTGCAACCTCAGGGCTACTCCAGCAGCCCCCACGGGGATTTTTCCGTCCTGTATCATTAGCGAGTGCATGAAGCACTGGTCGCGACCGCACTTGCAAAGAGGATCTGCCAGCAGAGAGATGGTGCCAGACTTGTCTTTATGAAAGGCAGCACGCAAAGCCGAGAGATCCAATTTGCAAGCTACGGCAAGATTTGCAAATTCTTTGTAAACCCTTTGAGACGTCAAGAGCCACGGCCTGAGAAGCAGAGTGTGTCACGGCATTTTTGGGCATGGCCGCTCATAATTGTTTTAAAGCTGTCTGGTAGTCTGCACCGGGCAGCGGAGGTGGCAGTAGTTAGTAGTTGATGTGAGAAGGGGAGTGCGTGCATCTTTCAGGGTCTGAGGCCGCATCAATGGACCTGAGCAGTTCAGTGGACATGAACCAAACTATGTTTTTTTTGGGGGGAACGGAATTGAATAGACTTGCTAAGTCTTTCTGATTGAATGCGAGACCAGGGGGGGTAAGCAGGGGCAAGCTTTCCATGGCACATGATGGGATGGAACAAGTATGTCCTGCATGTTGGGACTATTGAAACGTGGCCTCAGGCTACTGTCTGGCTTGATGAAATCTCCTCTCCTTCTCATTCGGAGCTTCCTAAGACAAAGTCTTGAGGCACACGCTCCCTCTTTGCGTTTGCAACCTGATGCTGCGTTCTTGCAACCATTTGCAACCTCAAAGGGCGACTCTAGCAGCCCCCGCCGGGATTTTTCGGTCCTGTATCATCAACGAGTGCATGAAGCAAGTTGCTGCACGACCCCTGATTGGTTTTTGGGGGTGGCTGGGGCTGCGCTGCCCGTGGAGCTTCTTGTCCGCTCATGGACGTCAGGCTCGTGCAGTCAACACTCCGGTGGGTTTTAAGTCCACGTGCCTCTAGGGACACGGTTTCCCACCTGGGGAGTGCGCTTGCAAAGAGGATCTGCCAGCAGAGAGATGGTGCACAGACTTGTCGTTACGAAGGGCAGCGTGTAAGCCAAGAGATCGAATTTGCAAGCTACTGAGACAAAACGTGCAAGCGAGTGGAAATCAAGCACGGCCGCTGGTTGTTCCTGGTAGTCATCATTGCCGTGCTCTGACGAAAAGCCGTTTGCCTATGGCCCAGTGGGTAAAGGCCTGTTTTTGCTGTGGCCGCGGGCCGCAGGCAGCACACTGCAAGCCGAGGGCCGCGGTTAACAGGAAGAGTGCATGGGTGGGTGCGAAACCCTGCTCCCCAAAAGTGGTCAGTGGCTACGAAACCCTCATACCCTCAAAGGAGTGGGTGCGTGCCAAACCCCAAACCCCAAAATAAGTGGGTGGGTGCGAAACCCCAAGCCCTATTCAAAGCGAGTGCCTGGGTGGGCGCGAAACCCTGAACCCTAAAAGGAGTGCACCGGTGGGTGTGAAACCATGAACCCGAACAGGAGTCGGTGGCTACCAAACCCTCATACCCTTATGCAAGGAATGGGTGGGTGCAAAACCCTGAACCCTACATAAAAGGAGTGGGTGGGTGCGAAGCCGCAAACTCTACAAGCAATGGGTGGCTGCGAAACCCCAAACCCATGTGGCCGCGGGCCACGGGCCGCTGCACGGGCCGCGCGTAGATGATGTTATTATGGGCCCGATGGAGTCAGACATTCTGTTTTGTTTTCACTGTCTAGATTCAAGTTTAGATGAGTCTCCGACGCTTTCTGAAATCCACAGTCCACAGCTACTCCAAACAGTTCAGACCTGTTCACATCTGTTATATGTGGTTGTGACAATCTGTTGCCAAATCAACATCGAGGATTCCACGCAGAGAGACACGGAAAGAAGACAGCAAAGCCCACATTACGATATTCTGTAGTTGCAATGCTTCAATATGTGATTGTTCGTAATGTGCTTGTGACCAGTCCCTTTTGGGGAAGTTTAGCTGTACCGCTGCGATTTTAGTGAAGTAGGTTTTCCGGCAGTTCCATGCGAATCCAATCGTGCTTGCTCAAGCATCAACTTGAAATCAAAGGTGAAGCAAGTGGCTTGCATCGATGTTGGAGCGGGGCTGTGAAAGCTCGATGGAGTTAATCAATGCCAATGCTTGTTTCAACTGTGAGTGTTTTGTATCTTATGAAAGTATAGCAAATTTCGGGTTACATCCATCGACTTATTCACACTCTGAGAATCAACTTTCGGTTTCCAGTTGCGGGCAGGGCCAGTAAAGCGTGTTAGTTGCAGCCGGACGTAAGTTCAGATAAGAATTGGTCGGATTGTTCGAAACGATGCTGCTTTGCTTCATGGTGGGCGATGGTCCACTATGGCTGCACATGGTCAAGGCCATGTTTGCACGCAGGCCGGTGTACTTTCGGGCAGGGGGAATCTGAACATTACAGCTGCTGAAGAAGCGGCTGTGGTTCGTTTTCTGTCAAGTACTGAAGTTGAGCCGAACTTGATTTGGGATACCGCATGTGCTTGAAGCGTGCGCGTTGTAGGTTATTGTTGCACTGACAGTTTACCATGTGTGTTGGAGTCTGCTTGATCTAATATTTATACTGAGAGCAAGCTTAGCGCCATTGGCTCACCCAGCTGGGCCTGTTCGATTTGTTCGGTTGAGCTGTTCATGCAAGCACAACAATTAGTGAGTATGATTGAGTTTGACTGGCGGGATCACAGGCTGGACAACGGCACCTGGCAATTTCCGAACCGCCGCAAAGGCTTGGAACTGAAGCAAGTGCACTGACTGCGGAAAAGGCTCGGTTGTTGAATGTCACTTCGGGACGCGTCTTGGCTGCTGCCTCCCTTTGAGTGAGCCTGTGTTGCTGCCTTTGTAGGAGCTGCCAGCCCCGGTATGATTTATTGATTCACGCAGTGCAGGCTAGGACGATAGCGCAACAGCAGGCTTCCAGTTGGTTGCTGTGAGTGAAAAGACACAGGACCCTTTTGAGGAGGTCTTTTCCAGCACCACTTAAATCTGCTGTTGCTGATTTCTTACTCTTGCGGTCACGGGGCTTGTGTGCAAAGTCACCTTGCGCGCATCTTCGTGGGGCGGCGCGCATGCAAGGCTGTTGCGAATCCAAGTGTCGGTTCAAGAGGACTAGAGGCGAACGTGGAGCCAACGGCGTGAGGAGGTCTAGGGTCTCCTAGAGCAGGGAGCAAAATTATTGAATTTGGATTTAATCGAAATTCACCGCCGACTGTCTTCAAAACAAAGGCTTACGCGGAGGAGGACGTTTGGGAGGCATTTGTTGGACACGGTGGCTTCAGTTTGAGAGTTTCTTGTGATGGAGCCCGCGGGCCCTACGTAGGGGGTTGCTGCAAGGCTCGCCGTAACAGCTATGAATAACCGGGCTGCTAGGAAGCGTCCTGCATGCATGGGCTGCTGCGTGTCACGTATGGAAGACTTCTGCCGCGCAACATCGCTGTCTCAAGGTTTAGGATGTTTTTGTGTGAATCGAATCAGAATCACAGATGTTCTCGGAGCCTGGCGGCCGGCATGCGGAGGCGCAATGGGCAAGAGAGTCGTTCTGCTTTTGCCGGCAGACCCCCAGGTTGGACGATGCCCAAGCTCATTGCGATCAGCCTCTTGCTCGAAGTCTTACATGGCTACTTCAGGTTGTGCTACTGCTCTGTGCCATACGCAGGCTCCCTTGCAAGCTTCTGGCAATAGCCCAAAAAGCTCTTGTATTATGCATCTCAAGTTTACATGTAATCGCCGGAGCAAGGTGGCTCAGGCCTTGCCCTGTGTCTGCTACCGAAGCAGTTGTGGTTTCCACGTGCATTTGCGAAAGCGTAGCACTTCGGGACAACAAGGGCAACAGGAGTATATGCTTGCTTGCGAGTCAAAGGATGCTGAGGCTGGAGTCTCATGGTTAGGTTCAAGAGAAGGTGCAAGACATGCAGCCGGCTGTCACTTGTGCTGTCGATGGCCGGAATGAAGATGCTTCCTGCCTCCTTTGCCCGTGACTCTGTACCCCTGCACTTGCGTGGCGAGTCTTTGGACCAGGTGAGGCTGGTTTGGCTGGTCCCGATACTGGCCCAGCTGGTTGAGGCCGCACGTAGCAGGGAAAGATGTCGAGACAGAGAAGGGGCAAAGGTCAACAATTTCTCTCTATCCAAAGGTACCAAGAGCTTCGATGCCTAACCCGAGCAGACCGTCACACATGCTCGGTGCAGGCGAACTACTGGGAACAGCTCAGCCCGAGTGGCACGCCGCCATCCGTGCGGTTTCGGCACGGAGACGCCGCGGTGTGGAGCCCGGCTGCGCACGGCTTCTACGTGTTCGGTGGGGAGGATGATAACGGCCCGGGCCCTGAGAGCACGTCAGGGGCAGCACGACAGCAACCTGCGATGCTGCGTTGCGGTGTGAAGGCTGGATCACTTGAGGCAACCTTCTCAACGACTCGTGGATCTACCGGCGTGAGGCCAGTGAGGGCCATCGCGAGCTTTTGGCTCGTCATGGATCAGGCAATGCAAGATCCGACTGCTAAACCCCAGCAACCGAGAAGGTGTAGGCTTAGAAGAAATGCTTAGGAGATGCGCTTTCTTCGTGAAGTACTGGGCCACCTTCCATGTTTCGATTCGATCTACACGCAACCTTCCACAAAGAGATGCTCTGCATCAGACATGTCTCGCAGGTGAACTACTGGGAACAGCTCAGCCCGAGCGGCACGGCGCCATCCGGGCGGACTCACCACACCGCGGTGTGGAGCGCCGCTGCGAACGGCTTCTACGTGTTCGGTGGGTATGATGGCCCGGGCCTGAGAGCACGTCTGGGGGCAGCACGACAGCAACCTGCGATGCTGCGTTGCGGTGCGCGGGCGGGAGTACTGAGGCAACGTTCTTAACGACTTGTGGTTCTACGGGAGTGAGGCCAGTGAGGGCCATCGCGAGCTTTTCGCTCGTCATGGCTCAGGCAATGCAAGATTCGACTGCCAAACTTTTCCCGACCCCGTAACCGAGAAGGTGTAGACTTACAAGACATGCTGAGGAGATGCCCTCTTTTTTTGTGTGAAGTACTGGCAAATCCCAGCACCACGGGGCGTTCTCCTTGGGGCCACCTTCCATGTTTCGTTTCGGCCTACACGCAACTTTCCACGAAGATATGCTCAGCAGCAGACATGTCTCGCAGGTGAACTACTGGGAACAGCTCAGCCCGAACGGCACGGCGCCATCCGTGCGGTATGGCCACACCGCGGTGTGGAGCCCGGCTGCGAACGGCTTCTACGTGTTCGGTGGAAATGGTGGTGGCCCGGGCCTGAGTGAGAGCACGTCTGGGGCAGCACGACAGCAACCTGCGATGCTGCGTTGCGATGTGCGGGTGGAGTCACCGAGGCAGCAGCATCCACGACCAGCTCAATGACTTGTGGTTCTGGCGTGAGGCCAGCGAGGGCCATCGCGAGCTTTTGACTCGTCATGGCTAATACAATGCAAGATTCGACTGCTAAACATTTCCCCGCCCAGTAACCGAAAAGGTGTGGTCTTACAAGAGATGCTCAGGATGCACTTTTTTGTGAAGTACTGGCAAATCCCAGCACCACGGGGCGTTCTCCTTGGGGCCACCTTCCATGTTTCGATTCGATCTACGCGCAATTTTCCACGAAGAGATGCTCAGCAGCAGACATGTCTCGCAGGCAAACAGCAGCTGGGAACAGCTCAGCCCGGACGGCACGGCGCCATCGGCGCGGCGTTTGCACACCGCGGTGTGGAGCGCCGCTGCGAACGGCTTCTACGTGTTCGGTGGGTTTGATGATGGTGGCCCGGGCCTGAGAGCACGTCTGGGGGCAGCACGACAGCAACCTGCGATGCTGCGTTGCGGTGCGCGGGCGGGAGTACTGAGGCAACGTTCTTAACGACTTGTGGTTCTACGGGAGTGAGGCCAGTGAGGGCCATCGCGAGCTTTTGGCTCGTCATGGCTCATGCAATGCAAGATTCGGGTGCTGAACATTTCCCCACCCAGTAACCGAAAAGGTGTGGTCTTAGATGCTGAGGATGCACTTTATTGTGAAGCACTGGCAAATCCCAGCACCTCAGGGTGTTCTCCTTGGGCCACCTTCCATGTTTCGATTCGGTCTACACGCAGCTTTCCACGAAGAGATGCTCAGCATCAGGCATGTCTCGCAGGCAAACAGCTGGGAGCAGCTCAGCCCGAGCGGCACGGCGCCATCCGTGCGGAATGGCCACACCGCGGTGTGGAGCCCGGCTGCGAACGGCTTCTACGTGTTCGGTGGAAATGGTGGCCCGGGCCTGAGTGAGAGCACGTCTGGGGCAGCACCACAGCGGGCTGCGTTGCGGTGGGGGCATCACTGAGGCAACCTTCTCAACGACTTATGGTTCTACGGGCGTGAGGCCAGCGAGGGCCATCGCGAGCTTTTGGCTCGTCATGGCTCATGCAATGCAAGATTCGGGTGCTGAACATTTCCCCACCCAGTAACCGAAAAGGTGTGGTCTTACAAGAGATGCTGAGGATGCACTTTATTGTGAAGTACTGGCAAATCCCAGCACCTCAGGGCGTTCTCCTTGGGCCACCTTCCATGTTTCGATTCGGTCTACACGCAACTTTCCACGAAGAGATGCTCAGCATCAAGCATGTCTCGCAGGTGAACTACTGGGAACAGCTCAGCCCGAGCGGCGCGCCATCCGGGCGTTGCTTTCACAGCGCAGTGTGGAGCCCGGCTGCGAACGGCTTCTACGTGTTCGGTGGAACTGATGGCCCGGGCCCTGAGAGCACGTCTGGGGCAGCACGACAGCAACCTGCGATGCTGCGTTGCGGTGTGCGGGCGGGATCACTGAGGCAACGCTCGCAACGACTTGTGGTTCTACGGGCGTGAGGCCAGTGAAGACCATGGCGAGCTTTTGGCTCGTCATGGCTAATGCAATGCAAGATTCGAGTGCAAGACACTTCCCGACTCAGTAACCGAACAGGTGTAGAGTAGCACACGTGTGTGCGAAGTAACAACCGTGAACGGCGTAGCTGCCTTTAGCACTCTGGCTCGACGTATCTTCGACGTCTAAGCTTTTAAACTAGATCCTCCTGTTGCCTTCGGCGATCATGGCCGCTCTCTCTCTCTCTCTCTCTCCAGCGGCGGTGGCAGATCAGCTTGGTGAGGTGCTGGCGGCGGCTCGACGGATGGGATGGGCACCCATGCTCTGCCTCCTCTCGACGGATCAGATCGCTGACCCCAACGACGCCACGGGGCGGCGCAATGCTTGGAGGGCTATGTCAGCGGGTGGGCGACTGAGGAGCTTCAACCGTTCCCACCTATCGTCGGCGGCCCGGCCAACAACACATCTACCGACCACTACGGCGGTGCCCGCTTCGGCGGATGGCAACGGCGGCACCGGAGGCCTTGCAAATATCCCGCAGGCCGGTGAGGACGACGAAGACGACACCAGCCAGACGGCGGTCGCTGCCCCGAGCACAAGCGGCGCCGCCCTTTGCTACCTCTTCTATGCCGACGTCCTCCATGCCGGACAAGCCGGCAGTCACACAGATTCAACCTGCTGCAGCGGATCAACTACCCGTAATACCTACTCGGACGCGGCGAACCTGTTCAAGGATCTCACCGACGGCTTCGACATGTGATCTGCACTCTGCGCCCTGGCCCAGGATGGCGCAAACGGTCCGACGATATAGGTACCCGTTCCCGGCGTCCATGGACGCGCTGAGGCAGGTCAATGCCGACTACGTTCGGCGAAAGGTGGCGGCTCCGCACGTCGGCGAGCACACAGAGCCCCTCATCAACGACGAGGTCAGGCTAGGCCGGGTGATCGGGCCAGCCAGGCCGCCGGCGTGGCTGAAGGTCAAGGCGGTCGACGGCGCCACACACCTGGTCGAGCTTTGCCATCCTCCAGATCGACGGAAACGGCGAGGTCAAGATCCACCGTGGGAAGATTTTGGCGGCGATCGGCCACAATTCGACGATCACAGCCGACGATCTACCGACGCATCACTTCATCTCCGCCTTTGTGGACGTGGCCAGGCGCATGGCGGCGGACTGTAGGATTTGAACCTGCGCGCCGAGCGGCGCATGCAGCGCAGACATCCACACCACGAAGAAAAGAGTCGTCCAGTTTTGGCATCTGAGCTAAGGGTGCGGCGGTTGTTGACTTAAAAGAAATGCTGAGGAGGCGTTTTTTTGTGAAATGTTGGCAAAGCCCATCCACAGTCTGTTGGTTGCGTTTGGAACGGATTTGGATCCGGCAGCGTATAAACACCAGACCTGAGGGGCAGGTGTTCTTTCTTCAAAGAAAGTCACGCCACTGCTGTTGTTGATGTCTGGCAAATCTTCAAGCCAGGCCACCAGCAGGGCCACTGCCACGACCAGCAGCAGCACAGTCACTGCGACTACGACCAGCAGCACTGCCACTGCCACTATCAGCAGCAGCTCGGCCACTGCCACGAGCGCCAGCAGCACTGCTACTGCCACTACCAGCAGCAGCACTGCCACTGCCACGAGCAGCTCTGCCACTGCCACTACCAGCAGCAGCACGGCCACTGCCACGACCACCAGCAGCACTGCCACTGCCACTATCAGCAGCAGCTCGGCCACTGCCACGACCGCCAGCAGCACTGCCACTGCCACTACCAGCAGCAGCACTGCCACTGCCACGAGCAGCTCTGCCACTGCCACTACCAGCAGCAGCACGGCCACTGCCACGACCACCAGCAGCACTGCCACTGCCACTATCAGCAGCAGCTCGGCCACTGCCACGACCGCCAGCAGCTCTGCCATTGCCACTACCAGCAGCAGCACTGGTACCGCCACTACCCGCAGCACTACGACCAGCAGCGGGATTGGCACCGTGACTGCCAGCAGCAGTACTAGCCGTGTTGACACAACCATCATCGAGGCCTGTAGGGTGAGAGTACCAGAGTATTGGCCACACTATTTCACAGTTCTGCGCAGGGCAGCTCAGCCGATCCTGGAGGTGTGCCTGCGGGTATCGCAGGCACTGCGATTCTGAGACTGATATTTTGCTAGGGCTTTGCCAGGACTGCCCTGCCCTCCTGGCCAACGTGCGGGAGCCCCAAACACGCCGGTGTTCAGCAGCTTGCGGTCCAAAGTTGAACCCGAGGCCTGTTCCATCACAGCCTACGACCTTCAGGGCTGCGGCCCTGGAATATATGGATGATATAAGCACGGGGGGCTACTCGGAGCAACGGCGAGGCCAGCCGACCGACCTGCCACCGCCCGAGCAGCGTTGCCTGAACTCGTCTTTGCCCAGACCCCAGATTGTAAAGCTTCCAATGCCATGAGATATTTTATGATTTTGGTCAGACGGTTGATGTTTAGATGGTTTTGGCCAAGTGACCTTGGCATTTCTGAGTTTGGAGCAGTACTTACCATCGCCATGAGATACCCGTGCCTCACCGGCATGCACAGCATGCGTGTGCCCCACAGGCGATTTGTAAGTGGTGCCCTATAAGGCCCCTGTGTTCAGTACAACCTGTGAACCGCGAACCAAGACAGTGTCCCTGCAACGACCTCCACGAGTGGATCTGCCGGGATCTCAGGCCGTTTAGCGAAGGTGAGTTGTTGTTGTTGTTGCTGTTGCTGTTGCTGTTGCTGTTGCTGTTGCTGTTGCTGTTGCTGTTGCTGTTGTTGTTGTTGTTGTTGTTGTTGTTGTTGTTGTTGTTGTTGTTGTTGTTGTTGTTGTTGTTGTTGTTGTTGTTGTTGTTGTTGTTGATGTTGTTGTTGATGTTGTTGTTGATGTTGTTGTTGATGTTGTTGTTGTTGTTGTTGTTGTTGTTGTTGTTGTTGTTGTTGTTGTTGTTGTTGTTGTTGTTGTTGTTGTTGTTGTTGTTGTTGTTGTTGTTGTTGATGATGATGATGGTGATGATGATGGTGGCGATGATGCAAGCACTCCCCGGGAGTTGAATTAGTTATCCCCGAACGGGTCCTCGTCGCAAAGGTCGCCTCTGCGGATTCAGCACCGCAGCGTACTCGCAACATCATGAGGCTTGTAACGTCTTCATCGATTGCGCACCTTGTGGATTTGTACTCACACCCGCCTGCACCAGCACGTCACACGTTGTTTCCCGTCAGCATTGCCGCATTGCGGTAAGTCCCGGCAGTCTGCTTTAGAGCCATCCTGCCGTCGTCAGACAGCAGGATCGCAGAGCCTTAAGACATACACTTCGTCCTGCAATGACATGAGAGGCGTTCTTCGTTCTTGAACGTTTTGCACGGCTCAGGCCAACCCAACAACTCAACGTTGTTCTGCCAGCCCAAGATTCTCGGGCCCTGTCCCGTGCACGCCGGATGCATCTACTGTCATTGGTCGGACGAGCTGAGTCGTGCCAGAAGTGCGATGGGTCATCGCTTTGAGGTACTGCAGCGCTGAGGAGCGCCTCGATCGGATTCGGCCGTCTGTGGTTGTCCATATGGCAAGAAGCGAACTTGTGCATGGTCTCCTTCACCCCCTTCCCTCTTCCATCCTCACCTTTTGGCTTCGAGGCTCCCATGCTGGTCAGCCCCTTTCGACGCGACGTGGCGGCATGTCTCTTCGCATAGGGTTTCGGTGCACCTGGCCTTGGCCCCAAGGACATGGGCCGAGTCGATGGTAGCACGTTGCCGGAGAAGAGCTGCCACGCAACGGCCACAGGACCGTTACTTCATGCAACGCAGGGCTTGCGTTCGGTTTGGCAGTGTGGCAGGCTGCCCCTGCGACGACGCCTGGGAGAAGAGGTGTGAGGGCCTATCTGCGTGCTACCCTAAGGCCCAAGACTGTCCCCTGGCTGCAGCGAAGCTGTTGGAGGCCGTGGCAGGTAAGGAGCCTTATGGTCTTCAGAATAAACATACCCCAAAAAGAAGAAACGAGAGATGGCATGCCTCACCATGTCACGTGGGATCCCGGAACACAGGTCCCCTGGACTGCGGCGAGTATCCTATTTGCCATCACGCTTCGGGTGCTTTGGCCTGGAGGAAGGGATTCAGATCTCAACGATCACGTGGTCTGCACAGCAGATCTTGAAGCCTTGACGCTTTGACCGAGGGAACAAGAGCTGTGCCGACAGTGTTGGGTGCATCTGCGAAGACAACGAGCACCGATGCCAAGACCAGGACGTGCAGGGCTTGTGCCGGTGCCAGTACGGCAGGGCCTTCAAACTCTGAAGAATCAGCTGTAGCATGTCCATTGGAGAGGCCCGAAAACAAACCGTGCCTTCAGGATTCGGGTCTGTACATCTGCCTGTGGAAGGCACGCAGGGTGACAGCGGTGCTTGCTCAAGCAGAAAAAAACACACGGCGCTCACTCAGGAGCGGTTCCCGGTCTGCCCGAAGACTTGTGGAGATGACCAGCTCTGCAGCAAGACGTACTTTGAGGCTGGAGTGCTGTTTGTACGGGACCTACCCAGCAGCCTCGCGAACATGTGAGTTCATTGAGGGTGCTGTTTGTGCTGCCGGAGTTCT